TGCAAAAATATCTATGTACAAAGAAATAAATTGTGGTTATTTACTCCAGTAGTGGGTCATGGTGATTTTGGTGGATGGAGAGAGAAGCATCCCCCAAAACCAATTTAATTTTATTTTATGTCTTATGATTTCATAAGGAACGTTTGGTCAGCATTTGTGCATTATTAGAAATAATCAGCCACAAAGTAAACTACTAACATTTCGTGAAACATAATTCTTTTGCTTCCTTGAAGATCTAACATTGGCCATAGATAAAATTCAAAAAGTACTGTTGATGGTTTTGATCACGGTTTTGGTGGATGTCCACGCTACCCTACGAGCAGAGGCCGACTAATCTAGGGAGATCAAAGAGCCTTTGTTCAAAGAAGGTTGGCTTCTGGCTCTCCCACCTATGTACCTCATTTTTTGACTCATCTTCCATTAGGCAGTAATAGATGTTATCTGGAAGTGTTGGGTTACCAAAATACAGTATCTAATTATCAATTTACAATTTCTCTTCCCAGGTGGTATGCATGGGTGCAGATTGGCCAGGGGGGATATTAATTTCACATATATCATTATAAATTGTTTTATTCTAATAATATTACACAAAATGCAGGATGCTTCATTTTCGATCCTTACCCGGTATTCAAGAATCTTACGCTGCTGTGTTGGATGTGTCTTCTTTTTTGTTTTTTAACTTCTCTCAGTCAAAGGTTTTTATTTTGATTTCAGCGCCACATCCTTTGCACCCCTTACTTACATTTGCATTAAATCCACCACATGAAGCACATTTCTGATTAGTAAAATAAATAGTCAAACAAATCAATTTAAAGGCAGTGATAATGTGGTCTGTATGTACTGTATACAAATCTATGTACACATATTTTGTTTGACTTAGATTCATGCTATTATAGATAAAAAAAACCAACCCTTCAATGTCATTGATCACAATGTATGGGTTTGGACTCAATGATAGACTTTCAAAGTAGAAATAATTCAGTTTATCTGTAAGAACTGCTGATTTTTTTTTTTTTTTTTAATTAATTGGGGTTCATTTTTTTGGTCAAGAAGAGCCAGAGAAAAATATGAACCACAAAGGGAGCCAATTATTACAATAATAATAATTTTCTGGTATAGTAGCTGCCTTGTATTAGAAATATATCATTTATTGTTGGATTAAGAAGACTGCACAAACTTTGACAGACAATTATTTGAGGTACATATAACAGGAATCTCAATTATTTGCAACCAAAGGAAACAATCACAACTTGAGGTAAGGGAACTTAAGTGAAATACACTCATTAGATTATGTAATACCTTCTGTTTTCCTTTCTTTGAGCTTAATTGCCTTTCTTCACCCACTGAAATGCCAACATGTACTAACAGCAACTAATCCCAACTAAATTTCAAATTTAAACAATTGAGAAAAACTGTACCACTAGTTTGAAATACAATGTATAAAAGTTGTCTATTATAGTGACATGAACTAGTAATCCATGTAAGAAGTACTGTGCTGCAATGTCCACATGCAGCATTGAAAATTAAAGAAAAAGAAATTGAAAAGACTTACAGGTAGGCAATATACTCTTTTATTACATGACTAGGACAGTCAGACGGCCAATAACTAAAATTAACCAATCAAAATGCTCTATTGCCGGTCCAATATTCTCTAAGTATTGGACCGGGCACTGTCCCAAATGGTGCTGAATGATACCGCACTTGTATCCCTGTGAACTTTAGTCGTATAATAAATCTCTTATTAACCAAGCTTGCTTGGGACCGTACTGGAAGAATATCGGCCCTCGGTCTTTTTTTGTACGGACCTCGCTGCGCTCGGTCCATACTGTCAAGACCTCAAGCCAATATTCTCCCAGTACGGCCCTCGCGCTTGGTTAATAAGATATATATTTTCATCATCAAATAACTGGATCACATCAATCCCTGTCATTCTAGTTTCTTTCTTTATAGATAGGTACATGTAGGTACTAAATAATTGTCTAAAGGAGTCTAGCATTTGGCATTTTACTGCCAGCACTTAACTACAGTTTCTGAAGCATGCAGTGACAAGGAGTATTTATAGGATGCTTATCAATCAGAGAGGGCAACCCTCACAATTACATTTGCCTATAGACCACTTTCATAAATGGCTGCCGGATTAATATTCTTTTGTTTAAATTTAAATTAGCCCTACTGGCGTCATTCTCCA